CGCCTTTCATCTACCCCTCTACAACTTATTCGCCATTGAAGATAACAGCTGCTATCACTCAGACTATTAAACAGATTTACTGCTAGGCTCCTGTGATCTGGCATCCTCCGGATGGTTGCAACCACATGCCTCTGAAATCCTACCCCAGTGTTGTCCAAACTTGGCCACTTTAAGATGATTGGACTTCAACTCCCAAAATTCCCAAGCAATGGGGAATTCTGGGAGTTGAAGTCCAATCATCTTAAAGTGGCCAAGTTTGGACAACACTGGGGTAGGATTTCAGAGGCATGTGGTTGCAACCATCCGGAGGATGCCAGATCACAGGAGCCTAGCAGTAAATCTGTTTAATAGTCTGAGTGATAGCAGCTGTTATCTTAACTGGCGAATAAGTTGTAGAGGGGTAGATAAAAGGTGGGGCAGATAGGAGTGGAAGAGAAGGGATGGTATTCTCACTTTGCTTTCCTGTTCCATCTCCATTTTCTCCCAGTTTCCCATTACCGGCTGTTCCCTAAGGCCCTGGGCCAGCTTATTTCCAAGTATTCAGTGCGCGAGTTACATCTCTCCCTCACTCAGGGCTTCTGGCGAACACGGAGCTGGGGACAGCCTTACTTGCAAGCTCCTGCAGGTGCAGAACTCTGGGTCTGGTTCCAGGACACTGTCTCAGAGTAAGTAGGTTCATAGTCCCCAGTTATTTATGTATTTATTTGATTTATTTTTATCCTAGGTAGAACTCTTCCAACTGTTTTTTCCTCAGTAGAAACCCTGTGAAATAGGCTGGGCTAAAAGATAGCCCCAATTCATCTAGTGAGTTTCTGAATCTGGGTTTCATGGATCTTAGTCTAAAACCTTAGCCACTTACTCTACATTTGGCTGTGACAGTTAAGAGCAAACATATAGAAGTTATCGCAGCTTTCCTTTTTTGCTTGGCTACTAATATTTGGTTACTTATTTAAAGGCTGGCAGGGAAATGATGATTTCCAAGTGTCTTAAGTCAGTGGGAGCCTCCAGAAGGGCCATAGTACTTCTGTCTCACAGTTTATAGATACATCTGATTAGCTTTTGTCAACCTGATCATATATACAGAAGATGGCAGGAAATATAATCTAACACATCTGGAGAGCTGTGAAAGGCTTGACCTGATAATCTGTTATTCATCACATGATATATATGGGCATGAACCAGACACATATTAAGCCATAGTCTGTTTTATTTGTTTGTTTTTGGTTTATACTGTTGTATGAATCCACCATGGTGGTTTTCAGGTTTGTAAATGATGGTTGATAGTTTAGCAGCAGTATCATGTGCTGATATTCTTTCTACTTTCTTCACTAATGGTGTCTCCAATGTACTTGTGGCTATGGGTGACTTTGAGAAAAAAAAATTCAGAGTTATTACAGTCAGCTGCTGAGGGCATGACAACCCTGTAGGAGGCCGCATGGTGCAGCTCTCTTTTCTGCAGATGCAATGAGAGAGGAGGAAAAACCTCTTTCACCGCCCTCAAAAATAAGGCACACACAATGCAATGTGCTCTAAACTGAAATTTGGTCATACTTGCTTTTGGATTTCCACTACTTATACTCCAGGCATCCCCCTGCCTCCTTAATTCCCTGCAGCTCCTCAGCAGACCAAACAGACCTACAAGCTTGATGAGTAGGCAGAGGTCACTTAGGAGTGAAATGGCCGATGGCTTGACATTCCAGTCTACCATCAAAGCCTCTCAATCAAAAGTTTTGGTGCCACAGCAGGCTGACCTGTAAGCAAATTCTGTGGGATCCAGAAACTGCCGTGGGTGGGCTTCACAATCAGCCCTGCATTCCTCAGTGGAGGCATTTTAACCAAATAGTGATCATCCCTGAAAAAGAAGTCACCTGTGACTCTTCCACCCACAGACCATTCCCCTCAGTGCAAAATGAAATCTAGGGTACGTTCTCCTTAGTGTGTGGAGGAAGATATCATTTGTAACAGGCCCATTGAAATCAAGCTGGCAATGTACTTCAGAGCTGATCCTGAAAGACTAGCCTTAGCATGTATGTTGAAATCTCTAAGCACCAACAGGCTGAGAGTACCTGCGATACATTCTAGCCAAAACACCAAACAAAACCCTGGGACCTCTGGCTTAGTGTGAATCCAAGCAGAGATTGTGAATGTGGTTAGTTCTTAATGGTGAATTACTGTTGTGAATGTTATGCTTGCTTTGTTTCTATGTAACAGCACCCAAGCTTCCGATGTATTAGACACTGATTCTTTGCCACCAGAATAGCATAAAAATGATGTATAAATCCACAGACACAGCTTAAAATTTTAAAAAGAATAAATTGCTTAAAAATGGTTTAGTAAATACATCTTAAAGTTTCAGATGACTCCTTCACAAACATATTAAAATGCTTACTATATGTTTTTCCTTTTGTAGTGTTGACAAAGCTTGGAATGATCTTAGTAACATCCTCTCAGGAATATTCTGTGCCTCTCTGAACTTCATTGATTCCACCAACACAATCATCCCAACTGCATCTTTCAAACCACTGGGGCTGGTGAATGGTGAGTTTATATACTTATTGATGTAAAGGGTCTCATAAAAGAAATTCTATAGGTGTTAACCAAAGTCAATTAAAATGTAAGAATAATGTAATAAAAATAATTTAATAAATAGCGCTATTTAAAAAATCTGTGTACTTGGATAGTTGGAAAAATCGTTAAAGATACTATGATCGTGGCAGTTTACAATATAGAACCCTGACATTCTTTAATTTAAAAATGCAGCAAAACAAGAATGGAGCTAACTAGAAAGCCACATAGAAAAAAAAGGTTTAACAGCTTTTGTAAAACTCCCTGAAAGTACTATTCAGCATCCATAGGAAGAGCTCTCAGTTGAGATGCCACCGCTGAACAAGGCTATTCCATTTTCCATCAAACATTTTACAAATAGTTATCACTTGTTCAATAGTAGTTTCTCTCTCTCTTTTTTTTTTTCCTCCCTGCATCCCCCAGTCCCCCAGGACTGATCTGAAGCATTCAAGAAATGCTAGAGTTCCAGTCCATCAGCAACATCGCAACCCATATATGTTACTATATGTAGGATAATGTCACTTACAGAAATAGTAAAAAAGGAGGAGGCTAAGTGTTGACTAGATTTCAGTGATAGTTAAGTCCCACATTTCTTCAGTGTATCCTTCAAATCATGTAAGTTTACAGGAGATATGCACATGTCTGTAAACCTTCTCACCCAGGCATTCCCTGTTTAGTGCCTTTTGAATGTGCTGGACTTTTAATTCCCATAATCTCGAGCAAAATCCAGACTGGGGAAGGTTCTAATCTTTGGCTCCCTCATTCAGTAACAGATCATCGTTTCCTGCGATATGCTATCTTGCCTCGTGAAGTTGTATGCACCGAAAACCTCACACCCTGGAAGAAGCTGTTACCTTGCAGCTCAAAGGTGAGACATGTGTCAGCTGCACTTGTTGAGCCTTGAAGCAGCAGCATGTCCTTCGGCCACTGGACTTCTTTCACTCTTGTAAATATTAGTTGGATATCTGCATAATTGCTTTAGGGGTTTTGCCTCTTCTTTGGTGGGTATGTGTAACTTAGAATTGGGTCAGAGTATCATATGTACATAGTTGCATAGTTCCTAAGCTTGATTTGGATTCTGCAGGGAAAAAAAAGCCCTCTTTTTATTTTCCAGGCTGGCCTGGCTGTTCTACTGAAGGCTGAGCGACTGTTCCACAGCAGTTATCACTCCCAGGCTGTGCACATCCGTCCCATCTGCAGGGTGGGTTTTTGAGTGCTCGGTTCATCGATCAGCTAGAAGAGTTGAAGACAGAATACCCAATACTGAGAATGCTGTATCTATAATCTCAGTTCCTTAATTAAGCTGAAGGTGCTCCTCTTAAAAATTAAATGTAAAAAAAAATTGGTAGATCAGTCCAAAGGTTTATCTAGTTCAGCATTCTGTTGCCACCATAGTCAACCTGATACCTTTGAAAAGTCCACAAGCACAATAACAGCATCCAGCTTGTGATCCGCAGCAATTGGTATTGAGAGGCAGTGTTGCCTCTGATACTAGAGGTAAAATGTAACCTTCATAACCAGAAACTATTGATAAGCCTAACATCCACAAAATTATAAGGAAATTCCCTTTTAAATTCCAAGTTGATGGCCATTGCTATATCTGCATCCTCTGGTTATATTACAGGATTCACTATGAGCTAGATTAAGTAGTATTTGCTTTTATCTGACTTGAATCTTCCACCACCAACTTCATTGACTGACTCAGGGATCCAAAGCTTTGCCTCAACTATTGGGTTGGGTTTTCTTATTTTCACTTGTTTGTTGGTGTGTTTATGAGTTTTACTAGATGTTGGAGAACACAGGTATCAGGGGTAAAGTGTTGGCTGCCAAGACGGTGATTGTGTTTTCTAGCAGGCAAAAATACCACCAAATGATATGTGCCCATGTTTAAATCCAGATTGAATAAAAGACTGGTTCTGCAAAACTACAACTGACAATGAGGAAGTTTAGCTGAAAAGTTCAAAGCAGTTATTTTGGGGCTCTTAAGAACCAAAAGAAGGAAGTTGACCCTGTATTTATGTTGTGGTGGGAGACCTTGTTTATGTGCCTTAGGATTTCCCACGTTGTAAAATTCGTTTTGCTGGAGTTAGGGTTACAATTCTCAGGGTAGATTACTCTAGAAATTTTGGGAAGAAATGTTGAGACTGCTATAATTTTTAACATGTTATAATTTTTTTTTTTAATGTGGGTGTTTTTTTCTCCCTTTTGCCTTTTTCTTTCAGGACAAATCTTGTCTGAGCTTATCTTGGGAACTCAGGCAGATCCTCACTGTTGTCTTTGATAGTTTTGCCAGTGCCCAGGGGAAGAAAGGTAACTCAGGCTACTGTCTCTATTGTTACTGCTCATCACGATTCATCTCTTAGCTGACCTTGTATCAATCTCTCTTCAGATTGGTCGTTCTTAAAGATTTTCTCTCGTACACTTACTGAAGCCTGTCCTCTGGCATCTCAAAGCAAGGTTTACGTTGATATTTCCAGCAAAACCGAGGTAACTTTTCTTTGTCAACCATGTTTGAATATAGATGGAGTGTTAATAAACTGAAATGGGCAGCCTTTTTTGACCTGAGTTAGACTTAAAAAAAAATCAGGATGGGTGGGGGAATCAGGATGATGCCACTGGAGGGAATGAGACTTAATTTTTTGAGACTTTCTAGGCTTTGGAGAGGTCCTTTTAAGTAAAATACGTGTTTTAAGCCTAGGGGTTGTGGGGGAGTACTTAACATAATTCAAAAATACACCCAACCAAATTTTGGCAATGTGATCAGTGTATCTGCAATAAAATAATAACCGGGGGGGGGGAGCACAGCAGGTTGCCCTCCCCAGCACAGATCACCAGCAATATCTGTATTTCTATACTGTAACCATCTCCTGAAATGGGCTTCAAACTGAGCTCTAGGTGGGTAAAAAGCCCTGATGGAAGCTCCAGATGTAACTGGACTGAATGGGTATCCAGTGTGCATCAGGAATTTAGCTTTTTGCAGTTGAAGTGCTTGGTATCTTCAGTAATAAAATCTGGTTGTGAGGGTGGTGGTATGTAAAATTTTTAATGTAATGCTATTTTTAGTTTCTTAGATTTCTTTTTGTAGTTTTGGTAGTGTATAGGACTGTAGGTATTTTACTTGGTTTTGCTGCTTTAGTGACTCTATTGGTCAGTTTTTTACTAGGTGGCCATGCTTCTGTAGTTTTATGTGTAAGGAAAATTACTGGTTCTCTTAGGTGTTCTGATGTTTTAACTGACTTTTGAAATGGTTGTTACATGCTCTCTTGAAAAAATTATAATTCTTATGGATATATGAGAATGGAGAAACATTCAAGAGATTGCCTTGATGTGCACGCATTCAGTGCGTGGAAAGAGTACTGTGTCTTGATGTGTATGCTTTCCAACCTTCATGCTTCGTGTGCTGCTTGGAAGAGTGTTTTACTGGTAGAGTTTCCATTGAATTGGGGATCTTGGGCAGTTGTGATTGTGAATACACAGAGAAACTGCCTGAACAACTTTTGCCTAGTTCCCCTCATAAACATAAGAAGTTGCTGTGGAACACACACACGGAAATAGGCGTTGAGGGTGTTCTAGATAGCTATGGTATGATGAGGATGGTATATGTTGGGACTGTATTTCTGAAGGCAAATGAAATTGCTTGTATTCTCAGGAGCAAGAGTTACTGGATGTTTCCCCAGCTCCTTTATCTGTCTATGAAGCATCAGTCCAGGGAGACAGGAGAACCTATGCAGTCTATGACCTTCTGAATCCAGCACTCTTCAATACATCTCGCAACCTCAATGTGCTGTTGAAATGGAAGCGGCCTCAGGATAACTGTGAGTGATCAGTGATTTCCTGGCTTCCCCATGCTATTTTACTAACTGTATCAGTACAAAGGATACCATTGTGCTATGCCAGTTGAGTCTATTAACTAGGACTAATACTTAACTAGTCTTCTCATACCCCCATGGCCTAATAATTTAGAGCTGAATTTTCCCCATAGGTGAAAATTATTATCAGATTATTTTTTACTTTGAGCTGGGATACCAGTAGAAAATCTGGTGGTATTCCGAACCATCCAGGAGAAATTTCTTTAAAGAGGCAGCATGAAAACTCTAGAAATTCAGAGAAATGTGTACTGTCCTCCCTAACAGAAATGTCCAAATCATGAAGCAGTGATTTGGTCACATATTATAAAAAGTAGGAAACAATAGCCCTTCCTCTGAAAATGCAAACAATGGGGGAATCCTGTGTAAGTAAGGAAATAGAACTTTCCCTTTGAGGTTTTAGGACATCAACCTCTATGTTAATATTGAGACATGAATAAGAATGATAGTTAGAGTTATGTAAATGTATTGGAACTTAATATATACATACTTGAATATTATTTACATTAGATAAGTATTGTTAATTGTTATAATGATATATTATACTTTCTTTTCTTTTTTCTGTTGTATTTTTTCACTTTTTGTTTAAGCACATTTATGGAAAAAAGAAATAAACAAATATTGAAAGATGAATGAAAGTGGCTTCTTCCTAGCCTTCCCCACACTCCCAGATGTATTGGAGCTACAGTGCCCTTCATTCCAAGCTAATAAAGATGATGCATGTTGTATTTCCACGTATATGGAGGGCATTGGGTGGCAGAAAATTGCTTTGATCACAAAATCTATTGCTTTAAGCGTATTTCACTTAATACAGATGATGAAGCTGAGTTTCTAACTCATGTCTAATTTATTTTCTTCAGTGGGCCTGGCTGTACCGGTGCTCCATGCTCAGCGCTATGTGAGTGGTTATGGTCTCCAAACAGGAGAAATCAGCACTCTTGTGTATAACACACATCCATATCGAGCTTTCCCTGTGCTTCTGCTAGAGACTGTGCCCTGGTACTTACGGCTCTACATTCATACCTTGACCATTATCACTAAAGGAAAGGAAAATAAACCAAGTAAGATAGAAACTCTCTCTAACATATGCGTCTTCTAATCCTTTTCTTAGAAGGAGAAATCCCTTGCCTCTTGGAAGAGAACGGTGGAAATGCAGAATTGTGATTGACGCTTGCTTTGCTCCACAACTGATTTGTGCCCATTGGTACTTTGATCTAGAGCAGTGTTCCTCAGTCTTGACAACTTGAAGATGTATGGACTTCAACTCTCAGAATTCCCCAGCCAGCATGGTTGGCTGGGTGATTCTGGGAGTAGAAGTCCATACATCTTCAAGTTGCCAAGGTTGAAAAACACTGATCTAGAGGATTGCCCAAGATTATCTTCCACCTTTAGGGCTGCTTGTTATGATTTTCAGAGTGTTGGAAATCTTGCTTTATACAGCTGATCCTGATGATTGGGCCTCCTGGCTTGTTTAAATCACAATTCTATATTGTTTCAAAGAGAGTCTCTGGCACAGGGCCTCTGATTCATATAAACAAAAGCTGTCAGTGGAGTAGAGAGCGTAGTATGCAGGGCCAATATTTGGTTTTTACTTTATAAACCCTAATTTAGCAATCTGTACATGTAACTATTCCGTGACATATTTATTTGCATCTAGCCATAAGTTTTTGATTTATAAGCCCAGAACAGACAAGGAATGAGGGTGGGAAAATATACTCATTCATTCCAATTATATCAAAACTGCTGAACAGGCAGGATGCCCAGATGGCAAGATTGAAGGCAGAATATTTATTTACAGTATTTATAGCCTGCCTCAATCAACATACAACAAAGTTATACATAGAAAAAGAAAAAAAATACAATGTACAGTTATTAAAATCCTCAGTATATAATTAAAAAACTGTATAGATGTCTGATAGTTTAAACTGCCCTAATGCTCAAATACCCAATGAAACAGGACTGCTTTAGTGGAGCAGTTTATAAAACGCCAATAGAGTAGGGCCATCTGTACTTCTAGAAGGGATTATTCCGTTAAACGGAGGTGTCACCAAGGATGCCTGCCACCTAGCCTATATCCCATGTAATACTCAGGGAGGGAGAACCTGCAGTGGGCCCTTTTTTGGTGACTAGACTAGATGGACAGAGTCAGTTTGGCAAGATATTACCTGATATATTCTGGTGCTGTGCTATAAAGGCCTTTAAAGGTAAGAGCCAGCTCTTTCAATGGTGCCCAGAAACTTACTGGCAGCCATTGCAGTGACTTCAGTATTGGTGTTCCAACCTGACGGGGTTATCCTATTAGGAGTCTGGCCAGCACATTTTGTACCAGATACAGCTTCTGGACTGTCTCCAAAAGCAGCCTGATGTAAAGTGTGTTGCAGTAGTCCAACTGAGGGATGATCCAGGCATGACTTTCTCTTGCCAAGGTAATTTGCCCTGATAAGGTTAAAAGTGAGGCATGAGCTGAAACTGGGCAAAGGCTTCCCTGGCTGCAGCTTGCACTGTTTAAGCAAGAGCTCCTAGGTCATAAACCAGCTCCTCCTGGAAGCACAACCCCACTCATCATTAGCAGGGCCAATGTGCCTAGATTGCACTGATGTCTTTTGATGACAAGCAATTCCATCTTGTTAGATTTAATCCAAGCTAGTTTCATTTGATCTAGATCACAGCTTTCAGGCACTGATTCAGGATTTTGACAGCATCTACACTCTAATTCAGTGTAGAGTAGCAATGTGTAACTGAGTGTCATTAGCAGTTTGGTGATACCTCACTCCAGATTGCTGAATGATCTGCCCCCAGCAGTTTCATGTAGATGTAAACAACATGGAGGAGAGCATCAAGCTCTGAGGCAGCCCACATTGGAGTTCATAAGGGCTTGAGAACTGCCACCCCATGACTACTGACTGGAACCACTGATTGAGGTGGGATTGAAAACTATTGTAATGCTGTGCCCACAACTCCCATGACTGCTGATGGCCCAGAGGGATACCATGATTAATGGAATTTTTAAAAATCTAAAAATAATGCAGGGATGAAGTAATACATGGCTAGTGGCACAACAGAGAATACCCATCTTGGCACCTACTGCTAATTGCTATATTACGTGATTGCTTTGGGTTTGACCTATATGGATTTCATCAGCATTTTTATACATTTTTTAGGACAATTAATGCATCATTTTTTAAGAATTAAAAATTAACTGCTTATCGGTTTGGAAATAAGTTCCACTGTATTTTGTTGGCTTCTTAGCCAGTAGGCACAGGACTGCAGTCTTGATTTTTTTTTTCCCAACTGAATTTTGATGTTTAATCAAAATCTCCAAGTGTGTGCATTCCAGAGAGTGAAAGTGGAGCAGTGTGATCTGCTCTGCAGAGGTGCTATGGAGATTGACTGAGCCTGAGTAAGAACATTCCTCAATATATTTATACGAACCTCAAGGAAGGATTTTATTTATTTATCTGAAGTTCTGATTGTATCTCCTTGGTGTTAGGTTATATCCATTATCAGCCAGCGCAGGACCGAAAGCGTCCCCATCTCTTGGAAATGTTGATTCAGTTGCCAGCAAACTCGGTCACAAAGATCAACATCCAGTTTGAGAGAGCCTTGCTCAAGTGGACAGAATACACACCTGACCCCAACCATGGCTTTTATGTGAGGTAAGTGTGGACAGCCCGCAGCCAGATAGTTGTTGGGGTTTGTCAGTTTTGGTTGTGCTGCATCCCTTTGAATCCTTGACTGCTTGTTTTCCGGGAGGGGCTCAATCTTACTTTTCTCTCTTTCTCTGGTTTTTAGCCCGTCTGTCTTAAGCGCCCTAGTGCCAAGCACCATTGCTATAAAAGAGGAAGATGAAGAAATAAAACCACTCTTTGCTTCACTGTGAGTGCTCTAAATCTTGGCAAATGAAGGAGGGTGTAAGTGGGAATTGTGTGGAGTTGACACTGTGTAGTGCTGTTGAACATGGGAAGCTGCTTACACCACTTTGCATTATTTGGCATTTAGTCATTACATGTTCCATTCTCCCCCAGATGTTTATTGTCTATTCCTGTCAGCCCCATTAGGTAGACCAGAGCAGGAAATCAACTCCCCAGGAAAGTTAAAACTACTTTTACTGAGCTTTACTATAATAATAAAATCTTGCAAGTCTGATTGTGTTTTACCTCCTCTCCCTCCTTATGCTCCACTGAAGCAGGGAGGCATCTGCCTTGAGCTGCTTCCAAATGTTACCTCATTGCTCTGGACTTAAAAAATATTTCAGCCCTTTTTGCTTACATTCCTGCATTTTTCTGTCAAAGTCATCTTTCTTACTCTCTACAATTCCAGTCTTGCCATAGCTGGTATTCAAATGTGTTGAACATTTGCTGTCATAATGCTGCTACCATGGCCTTTGAACCATGCTGGCTGTTGTATTATGGGAGCTAAATCGCAACACGTATGGAGGGTTCCAGATTGGGGAAGGCTGTTCTGTTTCAACTGACAGCAACAGTTTGCAGTTTCTCAAATACTGATTTTTTTTCTTCATTGCCTGGTATTTCTCTAACTGGGAACACCAGCATTTGAATTTGGAAGCCTTCTGCATGTGACAATGCATGTGCTCTGTCACTTGAGTATTTCTTTGCTGCTGAAGCAAGATCATTCTTACATGATCCATTGTCTTCATATGAATGGGAATGTTATGCCCAGGATATATTGTATTCATATCTGTAATCCATTTGAATGCTAATGCCACATGAGGTAAAGGTCCAGTTCCTGAATGAAGGCTCATCCTAAATATTTAAGGTACTTTATGCATGCTACAACACTGCACACCACTAAAAAACTAAGTAAGGTCTTTTGTCTGAAAAAAGTTATATATCCTTGATCTGCCTCAGCCAGTGGCACAGTCTACGTCACTTTAGCAGATCTCAGAAGCTGTGGGATCATACCTGGTTAGGATATGGCTGGAGGACCACCTGTGAATTCCAGCACTGCTGGATTCCAGGATAGCTTAACTGAAATGCATCTTGGAGGAAGGCAGTGGTTAATCAGTTCCATAATCTGCAAAGAAAATTGCATTGATCACCAGAAGTTGTGCTTGACTCAAAAGTACCTTTATCTTCACCTCTGATTTTAAGCCTCCACTGATTTTTTTTTTTTATTTCCCAGGTTTCCTTCCTTTGATGGCTCCAGCTACTTTGTACGTCTCTACACAGAACCTCTCCTGGTGAATCTGCCAACACCAGATTTTAGCATGCCATATAATGTGATCTGCCTGACCTGCACTGTGGTAGCCGTGTGTTACGGCTCCTTCTATAATCTTCTGACCAGAACATTCCATGTGGAAGAACCCAAGAGGGGAGGCCTAGCCAAGCGACTGGCAAACATAATTCGTAAAATGAGAGGTGTACCACCTCTCTGAGGACAGCTGGTGCATGTACTTCTCAAAGCTTTAGGAAATCTACAGCCAGGAATTGAAGGGTTAACTTGTGAGAAGGTAGATGGTTTAAGCAGGGTAACTTATGCTCTAAATAAGACTTAATTTATTTTCTTCTTATGGATTGTTTTTCATGGTTGTTGGATAGCTCCGTTCATTGCTGATCTCAGGACTGTAAATAAAAATGCCCAGGGCAAAAGCTTACTCTTTTGAAGATGTTTACATTATCTGGAAAGACAACTCTAAATAAGCCAGAACTGCTCTTGAATTTTTATCTCCTAGGTTTTGGTAAAGTAGAACCACTCTATCTCATTAGCCCATTTACTTTCATTGCCCTGTACAAGTACTGTATGTATACCTTTTAACTGCTGTGAGACTTAACTGGAGGCAGAATTTTTTGAGGACAGTTCATCAACACTGTGTTGGTGGACATAAGAGAGCAGAGACACATAAAATAATTAAATGTATAGCATTTGTGCCTGAGGGTATTCTGCATACCTATTTAATTTTGGCAAATTGCCATTTTAGAGGAAAAAACAATTTGAAGCAGATTGATGCAGCTGTCACTGGGGAATGTAGCTTCTAGAAATATTCATAACAGATTGTGACTTAGAGCATGGGCAGCCTGGACAGAGAGTGCTCTAAAACAGAGAAACTATGTTATTGAACTGGTGATACCCACAGGATTTAGATTAAGATGATAATCTAAATTGGGAAACAAGCATTGTATGTATGCTGGGTAAGGAAAAAATCCAAACAAAAATTGTCAAAAGATTTCAATAAATAATTGACAAGGTCTTCATAAGGTCATGATTTTAATCAGCCTTCCACGCATCTTTCTGCCTGATAGCCAAGCAAAAATTTCATCTGGGTAAACTCAGAATTCCATGCAAGATAAGTGAATCCGTTGAAGGACAGATAAGAAAATATAACAGTTTTTATCCCATGCCCACCAATCTGAAAGACACTGTTACCTTGGCTGATGGTGAAAAGCTAAGCAGAGTTAGACTTGGATGGGAGACTGCCAGGAAATACCCAGTCTGTAAATTGTACTGGGAAGCTGAAAAAGCATCCTGGAAAAAGGCAGTGGAAAGCACTTTTGCAGTGTTGTCAAGAAAGCTACTGATACAGTGGGGCAAAAAAGTATTTAGTCAGCCACCAATTGTGCAAGTTCTCCCACTT